TTTTTTAAAGGATGTCTTAATTTAGGGCAGTTGAGCCTATGCCTCCTCTTCCAGGAGGTTAGAGAGCCACCTGTATTAATAGCAGAACTTCACATATAGCAATCCTGGTATCTGCTTTGGCTGCTTTGGTGGGTGGGAGGTAGGGCATGGTTTGATTCCATTGCTCTGTTCTGACCTGAAATGCATGTTATCAAAGATAAATATGAGGATGGGCCTAAAGATTGGCTATCTTAGAAGCAAGGCTCTGAGTCAGTAGGTGGGGCCTTTGTATCCTCTTCAGAATAGCTTCCCGTGATAACTGTTCAACACTCTTTCTCACAGCTGCTCCTGACATCACTGGCCACAAACGGAGCGAGAACAAGAATGAAGGGCAAGATGCCATGATGTATTGCAAATCAGTTGGCTACCCGCACCCAGAGTGGATCTGGCGCAAGAAGGAGAATGGTATGCCCATGGTGAGTAGGAGGCAGCCCTGATTCTCTATACCTGGGTCTCTGTGGTTGCTGGAGTTTCTCCTGGGGAGGTCCAGACATCTGGACCAGTTTCTGCAACCCCTGCCATAATGGCATGGCCCCGGTTACCCTTCCTAGGCATGAATGTTATGAATCTGGAGGTCACTGACAGTCTCTGTCCAGCACTGGAATCCCTACGTGATCTGTTAGAGCTGTTTGTCTATTAAGCGATTTGACTGGTTTGCCTTCAAGACAAGAAACTGAAAGAGCTAATCCCAATCTTAAACTTTTTTTTATTATTCTAGCGCATCTGTTCTTGGTGTAGTCTTAACATACCTTTCTTGTTTTTTGGAAAGACAAGGCAATGAGGGCAATTACTAGTATATGCCTGGGACACAGAAAGTACTGATTAGGAATTGGGGCAACATGATGAGCCTCAGGAGCAGCCTTAGACATTGGAAATCTGACAGTATCTGCTCCAGAAAAGGTCAAAGAAGACATCTTTTTCAATCTGTGGGATGATTCTTGATGGTGTTGGGGGAGTCAAATATTTGTTAGATTCTCATTCTCTCTCTGATTTCGTGACATTTGGCCAGTCTCTTTTTCTGTGAGAGGGTGTCATACATTCCTCCTCTCCCGAGGCCTTGCATGTCCAGCACTGTACTTTTCAGGCATCCTCTTTGTCAATATCAGAATCAGAAGGGACCCTGGAGATAATCTAATCTGCTTCTTCAGAAAGGTTGCATTGTTAACCAAGGTAAATTAGTGACAAAACCAAGGAAGGGTCAAATCCATTTTTTTTTAATTTCAAGTCCATAATTCTTCCCACTCTAGGATCTCTCAATAATGATATGTCAAGTGGTGGTAAGGACTCTGACATTAACAATGATGACTAGATTTCAGAAACCCACTAATAAGGGGTCGTGATGAGGAAGGGAGAGGTTATTTTCAGAGCAGGCCCTGAAAAGTCAACAAAATATTTAATTCTCTAAAGTGCTGGCAAGCAAATGCCCATTTCTCTCCTGGTATCTGGGTAGGAGAGCCCTTGAGCTTTTGCCAAAGCAGATTGGGATTCCTCAGTGGATATTTTCATCTCCTCTTCTTCTCATGCCCATGAATTCATTTTTTGTTTGTTTGTTTTATTTATTTATTTTTTTTTTGAGAGACAGAGTGTGAGCAGGGGAGGGGCAGAAAGAGAGAGACAGAATCTGAAGTGGGCTCCAGGCTCTGAGCTGTCAGCACAGAGCCTGACACGGGGCTCAAACTCATGAACCACGAAATGAAGTCATACACTTAACCTCCTGAACAACCCAGATGCCCCTCATGCCCATGAACTCTTAATTATCTGTTACATTGTGAAGAACCTTTGAAATAAATTACTACTTCTTGTTGCTTTCAAGCTGTGAATTGTTTGGGAAATAGAAAACTTTTAATGAAAGAGGGGTAGGGAAAAGAAAAGCAATTTCTAGGTTGATGCCTTTGAAAACCAGTTTGTCGAACAGTCTGAACTTGGTTGAGGGCGAAGATGAAATGCTTTCAGTTTTTTTCTAGACACTAATTTCAGTACAGATCCCTTTTCTAGACAGATCCCATAACTTTGTTGGACCTCTTTGTTTTTAAAGAATTTAGTCCAGCCCAATCCAAAATTCCAGTTTTCTCTCTCATCCCCTTTCCCTAAGCTGCAAGGGGAGCAGAGGATTGTCTTCATTCTGTCTTCTGGGTTTTTCTTCTGTATGGAGTGGGAAAGAGGACAAGTATGGCTCATCTGACTTATCCTATAGCCCACTGCTTCTTGGCTGCTCCTTCTGTGGCCTCTGCGTGGCAGGTGTCCAGATCTGAATCTTGTAAGAACTTGTGTTGGTTCTTATAGGACCAGTTCTCAGATATTAGCGGTCTACTCTAACCGAAATCTCTGTTTCTTGCTTAGCTCCGGCCACAGATGATTTTTACTGCTGGGGTCTTCTCACCCAGAAGGCAACCAACCCTGTCAGGGAAACGTGAACATCATGGCTCTTCAAATCCTGGGAGTATAGGCCACTCTGCCTTCAGATCTCCAAATAGCCCTTTCCAAGATTGAGAGGCATACGGCACATCAGCCGGTCTCCTGCCTAAACAAATACCCACTGGAAAAAGATAGTTTCTTCTTGGCACCCCCAGCCTGAGTGATTCTCTTGGTGCCTGTTCCACTCAGCTGCAGGGTGGGAAGCTGCATGCAATGCCAAGTATAACTCTCTTCCTGTCACCTCTAATCCTGTCTTCTCTTTTATAGATTGGCTAGGGTTGATGTGGTCATGTGAGGGGTAAGGTAGCTTGATGGACTCCCTTGTAGTAAGCCCTAGCAGGACTATTTGCCCCCTGATTTGTTTGAATCTTTTTTTTTTTTTTTTTAAAGAGATAGGTACTTTTTTTTTTTCAAAGTAAATCATAATTTCTGACCATAAATGTAAAAATTACAGTCGTGTTAAATACAAAGTTTTAAGTATCCTCCTTAAAAGGCAGATTTAAGAAACAAAAATATGTTGTTTAAGATAATCTGCATATAACAAAATAATATAAAAGTGTTAAAACGAAAATGACCCAAAAATGGATAAACGTTGAAAAAAAAAAATTAAAAAAAAACAACGAAAATGATGGACAAAGATATAGTGAAATTCTATAAATAGAAAGAACAAGTGGAAATCTTAACATCACAGAAAGTGAAATTCAAATAAAAAACATTAAACCAGGGTGCCTGGTGGCTCAGTTAAGTGTCCAACTTCACCTCAGGTCATGATCATGAGTTTGAATCCAGCATCGGGCTCTCTGCTGTCGACGGAGAGCCTACTTCACATACTCTGTCTCTCTCTGCCCCTCTTCCCCCCGCTTTCCTGCCCCCCCCATACTCTGTCTCTTTCTCTCTCAAAAATAATAACTAATAAAAAGTAATACCTTAAAAGGGTTAAACCAAGAGTTCCTTTTTATCATGATAAGAGGATTAATCCATAATAAAGACAAAGCTATCATGATCTTTTCACACTACATAGTACAGTTCCAAAATGAATGAATTAAAAATTGGAAATACAAGGAAATGTAGCCAGAAGCACAATTATATGGTGGCATACTTACATATATTATTTTTAGTCTTTGACAGGTGAGATGAAAAATCAACACTATAGAAGGTTTGAATATCTAATGACTAAGGTGACACAGTCTTGATACTGAAACCTAAGTATCAATCACTATCAGTCATAAATGTATGTGAACACTTCCTAAGTGCAAGTTAATGGTGTTTGAATCCTTTTTTAAAAAAAAAAAGTACACATTTTTATTATTGAAGTATAGTTGACATATAATGTTAGTTTCAGGTATACAGCATAGTGATTTGACAGTTCTGTACATAATGCAGCACTCACCACGATTAGCGTAGTCACCATCTGTTACCTTACACGTCATTACAGTATTATCGACTCTATTCCCTATGCTGTGCTTTCATCCAAGAATATAGGGTACTTTTGATGCTTCTCCTTAGTCATCAATTCTGTAGCAACAGGACAAGTCTCCACTCAGTATCTTATTATGCATTGATTGAAAAGGTTAAAAGTTTCTTGCATAAAATGGTATTCAGAAAATACTTAGTGAAGGCCTGTGGATCAAAGAAGACAATAATCATTTCTGATTATAAGTGAAAAACATGGAATTAGTGAGCCGGTAGAGCAGGGGTGTGGGGGGGGTGAGAGAAGTTGGCAGCTTTCCAAGTCCTCGAGTCGAAGCTTCATGGGATAACTTGTTTTGAAGGCTGAGTTTGCCATTTCAGGCATACCCACACTCAACTGCAGACACGATTGTATGCTATAGCTAGACATCATTCTGGGGATTATCTTCCCCTTTCCTCTCTACTATTTCTGATTACACTTTAGTTGCATAACAACTGGCACATGAGTCCATTTTCCTGCTACCCCAGGGGATCAGTGCTATAAGCCTGCTGGATCCCAGCTCCACCTAGAGCCCTGCTTGTGCACTCTCACCTCCGCCTTCCCACATGGGCCTGGAGTACTCCCGTCCTACTTAGCACCTCTCCTCCCCACAATCTAGTGCAAAAGCTGGCTCTTGTCAAGCTTTCCCTGACTGTTTCTGGCACTGGCCACTCACTCTGTCCCACAGTATTTGGTACATGCCCTCCATTGGGGCTTCTCGTCGCATTCCTATGACCATCCCTTTTGAGGTTCCCTCTTGAGGTCAGTCTCCTTGTTCGTTTTTGTATCATACTTTTCCCTATTTCACCTTCCCCTTGGTAGGATATAAGACATGTAGCATACATTAGTAAATAGTTGATTGATTGAATAAACTTTGCTTTAACCCTGTAATTCTGAAAGGAAAGGGCAGTTATGAATTTCTCTAGTCTTGACTAGGAGCAAGTTCTTAGCATTGTTTTTGGAGGAAGTTTAAGGAGACTTCCCAGAATTCACCAAGCACGAAGTAGATGTCCTGACTCTGAAGTCATCAGACAGGCCTGAGGTTAGCATATATGCCTGACCGTGGAGGTCACACCCCTCCTTCTCAATTCTCCTTTGTGTTATGGTTTCTTACCATATGGTATTTGAAGTAGCATTTTCTAGATTGAGTAGGTCTTCCAGTCACTTCATAGAAGTTGGAGAAGTCTGGAGGACCAACAGTGGGGGAGGCCTTAACCTGGCTCTACCAGAAGTTTACTAATGTGTTGTTGTTGTTGATATTGAAAGGAAGTTAATAATGAAGGGCTCACAAGTTACCTGGACAAAGATGGTCCTAGACACTGCTCCCTCATCCCAGCCAATGATCTTGCTAAGAATGGAGAACAGTGCCACCTTATCTTGGACACGAACTCAACTACTCTGACCTCTGTGTGTTCTCCCTTTCTCTACCCTGAGCAGGACATTGTCAATACCTCTGGCCGCTTCTTCATCATCAACAAGGAAAATTATACTGAGCTGAACATCGTGAATCTCCAGATCGCGGAAGACCCTGGCGAGTATGAATGTAATGCTACCAACTCCATTGGCTCTGCCTCCGTTGTCACCATCCTCAGGGTACGGAGCCACCTGGCCCCACTCTGGCCTTTTTTGGGAATTCTGGCTGAAATCATCATCTTGGTGGTGATCATTGTTGTGTATGAGAAGAGGAAGAGGCCAGATGAAGTTCCTGATGGTAAGAGCATCCCTACAAAATAGCTATAATGTTGGGGTTGGTTCCTTGGGATGGTTTCCAAGCACCCAAAGAGGACTACAAGTATGTTGGGGTTCAGTCCCAAAAGGAGAGAAGGAAAATTCTCATACTGGTTCCTTAATCCCTACCCCTAAGATTAGCCACCTAGAGCTATAATTATTAGCTCTGTCCCTCCATTTGGGTGTTCTCCAAGCCCCAGTCCCATCTGCCCTTCAGGCCCCATGTGGGGAGCGGGCAGCTGTCAGTCTCTTTGTTCAGCTCTGTCCTCCTTCAATACAGATCATCAGGCAGATTGAGCTTGAGGAGAATCCAAGTCAAGCCTAGAAGCCACCCCAAGATCGCAGGCCACCTGGCCTTTCAGGCAGATTTAAGGTATCTAATTGGTTGTCACATGGTTGCCTCGTGTAGCCCCTGTAGGTAACTGCCCCAGTCCAGTCAAACTGTTCTTGAGAAAAGCCATTGGAACAAGCCAGCCTTTGGTTCCCTTGGTTGGTCCCTTTGATAGGTTTTCAAGGTTCTTGGTGAAGCAGGCACCTAGCATTTGGCTTTTCTGTCTCACAGACAAAATGGTGGAGTCTGATCCATCCACACCCCCACTTTTAAGGCAGAGATAGCTAAGCAGTAACACCTGGCACCCAGGCCCCAGGGTGGCACCCGCAGGCTGGTGGAGTGCCAGAGATGGGAGTGGATAGAGCGGCACTAGGACTACAGTGAATTATTAAGCTTTGGAAAGAACATGGATCTTAGATTTGGGGACATGCTTACAATCAGGAAGGTCCTAGGAAATCTTTGTTGTTTTTTTTTTTGTTTGTTTGTTTTTTTTTTTTTTTTGTTTGTTTGTTTTTTTTTTTTTTTGGTGTTCCATTTGTAACCCTGGGATTCCAGTCAGGGGACAGCTCCTGCTGGAGACTTGTATCAGTAGCTCCTTCAGCTTTCTGACTAGCTCCCCACCCTCCTGTCCTGTCACGTCATCAGCAAATGAATCGGCCAGCCAGAGATTACCCCCACTTGTCCATCACTGACTAGATGAGAAGGGTGTGTGCCCAAGTTCAGTGGAGGCGGGCCTTGGGTGATGGTGGGGTTGTCAACTCTGGTGTGACTGTTCTGGGCCTGTGCTTGTGCACTGTGGTCCTGTGCCTTGCCCCACAGAGTTGTCCTTGTCCCTGTGGCTGACCAGCAGGACTGCAGCCCCAACCATGTGTGTTTGTGGAGAATTGCTAAGGGGGGTCTGCTGCTCCCTCAGAAGTCATGCAGCCCTGAAGGCATGCTGGTGGCTTCAGCCTGTTTGGAAGGCCATGTTTGAGAACAGCAGCCTCTTCCCCTCTTTTTGTTTCTTCTCAGCACCTCCAAATCTCTGCCTGCACTGAGTAGAGGGGAGTATTCTAGGGAGGCTGGCAAAAAGATTTGTCGCTGACACTAACAACGCATGTAGGGAGCCCTGGCAGAACCCCTCCCGGTGTACATCCAGCAGTGAGCTAGACAGAGGAGTGAGGCGGACGCCAGCTGGAAGTCGATGGGCCTGTGTGAATAAATGAGCTGATTCCCTGCAACAGAAGTGTGCCCCCGGGATTTTTACATTCCTTCTCCTAGGTGCACAGAACTGCTGTTCTACGAGGTGAACTGCATTCTTGGGATTTTTCACATATGCATAATGCTTTTTTCTCTAGATTTTTCTCTTTCCTGCTACAAATTAGGACTCCCAAGCAAGGCAGAATACCTGTATTTAGGCCTGAGAGTAAAGGGAAGTTGTCTGTATTTCTAGCACAGCTCTTTAGAAGCAGTTATGCCTCAGTCCTGCAAAGGGCTTTTCATCCCCTCAGAATGCTTTTGCTTTGCTAAATTTCACCTTGCTCAGCCTTCCCTTTGGAAAGGTGGAGAAGCAAAAAGTCAGGTAGGAAAGGGCAAAGATGGGCTTCCGGACCTGATTTTTTATTTTACGATGATGAGGCTGGGTGCTGCTCTCTTGGCAGAGTGATATGTTGGCTTAGCTGGTCTCCATCAGAGGTTCCTGTCTTCCTCGTAGGAAGCCACTTTGTTTACCAGGTTGCTCTCCCAGCGTGTCTGGAAGACATTTGGGTTAGATTTGAGAAGTGGTTAGTATTGGTTCTGACAAGTGCAGACACCTGCCCGGGGAAGTGGCTATCTTAAAAGAGCTAGAGCTCCATGGCTACTGAACTCAAGTGGTGGCCAGTTGAGTAGAGGAGACCTCTGTGGCCAGTAAATCTTCTGAACAGCTTCCTGAAGGGAAGGTACTTCTTTTAAGCTAAATCATTATAGACAGTGGAAGAATCCTACATAAAAGACGTGGGTAAGTGCAAAGTAAAATCTCTTTGCTCTGATCTCCTGGAAGAAATGTAATGCAAGCAGTGTTTACTTTTTTTGTTCTTGAGTTGGGGCAGCAGACCTGGGATGCTGGAATTATTGCGGTGTTGCCTCCTCTCTGCTCCCTTCCCGACAGCCAGCGCGGCCCAGGCTCCATTCTCCATCTCCACTTCCCTGCCTTGCTCTGGCATTTCCATCCCAGAGTTTTCTCCTTTGTTTGCCTCCTCCTCTCAAACCCCTCCCTGCTCCTATGCCCCTTTATCTCTTGTCCTCCTGGAATTAATCATTAAAGAAAAAAAAAGTTGATTGTTCCTCAGTGAGTTTTCCTTATGCTGTGGCTTTTTTTCCAGCCAGTTTCCCCTCAACTCCCATGCATCCCTCATATGCTTTCTCCCCACCTACCCTGTCCCCAGGTCTACATATAGAGAGATGCAGGCACTCCTTTGTGGAATGAATGAAGAGGTACCTTGTATCTGATACGAATTGGGAGTTTTAGAGGTGATGGATTTTTATCAGCCAGCCATCTGTGGCTCTGTTGACTTATTTGTGCCACTGTGAAAATGGATTTTTTAATATGCCTGACATGCTTTCTCTGCCAAAATAGGTACTTTTTATTATCAAGGTAGACCTAGGATTTATTTTTGACTTACTGAACTTTTTCTTATATGAAAAAATTTCATATAAAACTCCTAATACTCATATTCGGGTAGTCTGTGAGTTCTTGGTAACTCAGCCCCTGACCAGAAAAGCACTAAGTGAACAGTTTAAAACTACACACCTGCACAAATTTGAACTTAGAGAGTTTACTCCAAGTACGCTTCACCAGAATAGCAAAGATTGCTTTAGATTTCTCACATAGAAAATGCTTAGGGTTAAGGGTTAGCTACTTCCAGTAGGGGGAGGGGGAGAAAAGGCCTCTGTGTCTTAGTCTACTGGCATCTACTCAGAACATTTTTAAGCAGAACTCACACTAAGTCCCTTTTAGCCCCTGCTGTGGTCTCTTTGAGGATCGGTGCCCAGTAGATTGGTTGTCTTCTAGATAGATGGTCTGCATCTCACCTTTTACCTTCAGTGTTTTCAGGAACAGATGAGTCATGGAGACAAACAAGGGCTTCGTTTTTTCAGCTTACTCATCACTTGACTACATTCTCTGAAAATATTACATGATAATTTTCTAAAAAGAGTGGGTCCAGCCAGCATCCCCCTAGCCTTCCATCCATCCTACAGCTCACATGCCTGGAGCAGACCTTCTGTGCTGGTTCTCTGCTGAGTGAAGCAGAGGGGTTGGTGTGTGCTTCCAAGTTCCCCCCTCCCCGCTCACCTGGGGAGATGAGGCGGGAACCTGCCTCATGGTTGGTGCCTTCAGTTCTACTGGACGTTTTAGTGACCGCAGGTGAAAACAGTAGGAGCTGATTTAAGAAAAGCAGTGGTGGCATCAAAAAGAGTTTTCTGTTTTCACGTTAGGGAGATAATTTTTATAAGCAGTTCAAAGGGACTCTTCTAAGTTACTGATGGAGATCTGAGGTTTTGGGGGGACCATTTTTAGTGGCTCTGATGCATTCGAACTCTTTTAGACACTCTACGATTAAGAGGTATTCTGACATCCGAAAAATCTATCAGTTGGGAATATGAAGCTTTACAACAGACCAGGAATGTTGGTAAAGAAATGTGATCTTTAAAATGACATGCAAAACACACCTTTCATTGTCTCTTAACTAGGGGTCCTCTGAGTCCGTTACCTTATGGAGAAAATACAATAGGACCAAATATGAAAGGAAACTGGAAGTAACTGTTAATCAGTCTCTGGTTTAATGCTAATCTGCTGAGATGAGGCAAAATGTAAGCAGGTTTAGAAACTATAAAAGCCCATCCTCCGTGAGATGAAGGCAGTGAACAAGGAGCTTTGACCAGACAGGCCCCTCTTGGTCATTCTGACTGGAAAGCCATCTTTTTGGAGGTGCTACCATGTCAGGTAACCCGTTCTTTAGCGGGCATCGCAGAGCACTCTTCCTGATGACACGGCCATGTGATCTAGGGGAGTGAGGGCCGGAGTACGTCTGTTGGGAAGACAGCAGTTCCACCAGGAACTTCACTCTCCTGAGGTGGATTCCGGAAGCATCTTGTTTCCCTTCTCCCCAGTCCTCTTCCTCTCATCTAGCCAGTGGTTGTGAGTAATGCCTAGGTGAAGAGAGGAGCCCTTGTTTAAGCAGCTGCCTTTTGGCCTGAGGGTTTGGGGTATGTTGATATTTGTCGGTTACTATGACTTCTTTTTTTTCCCCCCTCAATTGCATCAAACCCTTAAAACATGGTGGTAAGTGAGCGATATGCATGCTTTTGGAGTTTGTTTAATCTCCGCTTCAGTCTATACGATGCACAGTTCATGATGTTAACACTTTTCTTCAAGTTTACTTCATTCACTTTCACAACTAATTTGGATTTCAGTTTGCTGTTCAATTCTCATTTACTTTTTGATTTTCGTACCTTTTTTTCTGTAGTTCTGTTCTTTCCCTCTCTCCTGGTTTCCCTGTTAGGGTCAGGTTGTTTATTGTCTGACCTGTAAAGGGAGAGTGGTGCTGCGGATAGTGGCTCAGTCCAGGACAGTAGGACACACGAGGCTCTTTTCTCGATTCCTTGTAAATGTGCAGGTGGATGTGGGGAGAGAGATGAAGTGAGGCTTAGACACTAGCGTGAATAGCACCCGCTCCCACTTGCAGGCATGGCAGCTGCACCGGAGCCGCTGTTGCTAAAACCCCAACGTGCGGCCCTTTGCACGTTACCGGCTTGTCAGGCTGGAAGACGACCCCACTGGGCGGACAGCAGGGCGTAACCCCCCACCAAAAGAAAAGCTTGCGTGTAAAGTGCTCGGGTCGGTGCTGACAGCGTCATGCTTTGAGAAGAGTAGCTTGGCTATCGCGATGTCCCCCCTCCCCTGCTTTTCCTTTCCACATTGGGAGTAGGTTGGTGGTGGTCTTGTCAGTTATCTTTAGAATTTTGTGTTTTCCGGTACACAGCCAGAGCACTAAAACTATCCTAAGTTTGCTCCTGTGTCTTTTCCTTTAAGTCCCTGAAGTGCTTAGTTCCTAGCATGTAGCTGAGCTGGCTTGGCCTGGATGCTGAGAGCAGTCGGGTGTTGTGGTGAGGGTAGATTTAGGCCGGGCTCGTGTGTCTCAGTCCTGATATGTCTTCGTATATCTTCACTGCATACACAGCACACTGATGTCTCGGGTGTCCTCGACTCTTAGTTTGTTCTTTGTACCTGTTCAATAGTGGACTGTTAGTAGTAGAATCCTGTTGGACACTGGTGTGTCGCCAGCCTGTTGTTTGGCTGAGAAGTCATTGGTTTGTGGTTAGTTCGTTCGTTTGTTTTTTTTTTTTTAATCTTTTTTTGCTCCAGTCACTGTGTGTGCTGGCGGTGGCTTTGCCTTTCCGTTGCCTCGAAGGACCAGGTGGAGCAATGTCTCCCTGTGACAGACATTACTCCTGACGTGTGCGCCTGCAGATGCCTACACTGAGACTGTAATCTCCATAACTGCTTCATGTGCACCAAGCCCCCTTGTGGAATCCTGCTGAGAGTTTTTCTAGAAGCCTTCAGCTAAACCAAACTGTTCAGAATCATTTAGTCTACCTGACTGGTATAAAACAGAAAAACTAAGAGCACTTGCTTGTTCCCTCCCCATGTACATATATCCCTGCTTAAAGGGGACCAAGTTGCCCTTAGTTGAAACAGGAAAGAAAAACTTATAAATCAGAATAATGAAATACCAATTTAAGAAGGCTTCTAAACTCAGATGATGTAAGCTTTTTGGTTTAAAAAAAACAAAACAAAACAAAAACTATCTCATGGCTCATCTGGATTCGGGTTCTGGTTTTGGCCAGGGCTCGAGTTGAGCCTGTCTTTTCTGTCAGAAGTCTGAAGTCTTTTCTAGAGGGATGTCACCACTATTCAGCTCTCCCTGATGTGTCACAGAACGTCTTCTGGTTATGTATGCACTTGTGCTGGCATAGCCCAGCTGGGCTGACCCAGTATTAGGTTGAACTGTTGTGGCTTCCTCTCCCTCAATCTCATTCGCCAGACTAAAGACTCTCCTAAAGATTACAAAACAGCAAGAACACTGTCTTTTGGGGAAGTGAGGATGTGTGGCTAAATGTATAGAACACACACATCCGTCCACACTGCAGGATTGAGCCATGCATTCACCACAAGAAAACAAACAGCAGGATTTTACAACTGAAATGTTGGTTTGTGTTCTCATTTCTCTAAGAGTGAACCACTGGAACTTGGGGACAAGATGAGTATAATATCGCAGCCTGTCTGTCCGCTACAGTTGCAGTTTTTCATGACAAGCATTCCCAGTGTCAACTAAAACCATTGAAACAACATACCCGCCATTAAAAACTCGAATCTAGAAGTAATAACTCCATGAGTGTTTTGCACCTCCAGATGGAATGGCCTTGAATAAATGCTATGAATAGCCATGTTTGCCACTTGCCGTTTGCTCTTGTGTTAATTCTTAACGTAGAGTCTCACGATTTTCTCCTTTCTCCTCCTGTCTCTCAATGGATTATTAAAAAACGGAATACCTTACAGACGATGAACCAGCTGGGCCAATGTGAGTACTTTGTTGGACATTGATTCCGTAGTTTATTTTGTATTTGCAGTTTAATTGAATGGAGTGAGTAGCTAAGGTGGTGGGGAGCCAGTGGGTGGAAATGAGTGTTGTAGTGTAGACTCCCTAGCTACACAGACATGGAGCTGACAGCCATTTGATTCCCAGGACAGGCTGTGCAGTTTTGTTTTCCGTAACAACACAAGGTGGAACGCCATGCAAAAAACCGTTTAAAATTTTGCACGTCCTATATACTTGAATTGATAGTGTGGAGGAAATAACAAGTGTATCGGAGACTGCCAGTTTTGTGAACGTTAATTTCAAGCTGGACTGTAGCATGGAGAAGCTGTCTGGCTTCATTAACAATTGTGTGTAGCCAAGACAGATGGTACTGCAAATTTTCAGTCGGTCCAGGAGAAGCGGAGTCTCCTAGAGTTGGGGACTAAGGGGTGAGAGCCCCAAATTGGCCAAGTGCCAGAGGGCACACCACTGCCCGCCTGTGTGTGATTATCTTTTATCATTCGAGAAGAGACTGTGGTGTTCAGTAGAGAAGAAACCACTGTCCATACACCGTTAGAATAATTAGATTATAGTTTGTAAATCGGATGGAAAGTTACCTGTATATTGTCTGCCTTGGGAGTCAAAAGGATTAACTGATGGTGTGTGTGTATGCACTTTACACAAAGAATATTTTTATTGACTAATGTTGTGCAGTAAAATTTCTTACTATACCAGGGATGGTAGTAAGTGAAAGAATCCCTGTATTTCCATGTGTTATAATTTCAAGAGTTGCCACTGACTTTAACTCTTATAATGCAATTTTTCCTCCAAAGGAAAACCAACTCTACCAACAATCACAAAGATAAAAACTTGCGCCAGAGAAACACAAATTAAATACTGCTTATAATGTAAGTATGGCCTTCCTTAGAAATTTTAAAAATTATATGCAAACGAACGTTGCCTCTGTTGACCTTGTTGCACATTCTTTGGTAGTTGGTAGCATGTTGTAGGATCTTCTAGTTCATTTCAGAGCTGTTGATATGATGGAACAAGTTCTGTTTGCCCTCCGTCCAGTGCAGCAGCCGGAAAGGAACATTTTTCAGCTGTGTTGTTCCACATATTTATATAAGTGCCGTTTCAGAATACGTATGGTGTTTCAAAATGCATCCTTTGCACCACTATTTAACTGTTTTTTTAAAAAAGAGGTAAAAATTGTCACCTTGGGTGGATTATTCCCAGAGGCCAGTTAATTCCACTTTGCTTGTGAGGGCAAGGCAAGAATGGTGGCCGGGCATAGCTGGGCCAGAGTGCCTTCCATGCCGGCACATGGAGATCAGAGTTTCACACCACATCCCTGCGCATGCTGTCTGAACCAAAGCTTTGTTGTATGTAGGATTTGGTGTAGTCTTCAGGGACAGTGCATATTCCCTTTTAATTTCCAAATACTTTTTCTTCACAGATCTTTAGGTTCCTGAAACTGGTGGCAACATGATCTGCTAAATTTTCTGCTTGGACCTCTTTGGTTCTCTCCCCTTTTAAGTGAGCAGCACCACAAATGACTGTCTAAAGCATGCCTTATTTAGCCTTTCCTGTAAGGGTGATCTAGTCAGGTACATTTTAAACAATGCTTCAGTGTAGAAGGTGTAAACTATTTGGGGCTTGATGTGCTGTGAATGTTGCTTTTTTTTCCCCCCTTTGTTAAAATATTTAAGTAGACGTGAAAAGGTCCTCTGAGGATCGGATCATGCATGCGCCATTTTTTACTTAATGCAGCTGTTAAATTGGCAAAGCTCTAAAATGCACTGCTGCCATCTAGTGATAACATTTTTGTAAAGTACAGCAAAACCTACAGATATATACAGTATATAAATATATATATATATATATTTATATTTTTGGGGGTGGGAGAAATCCAAAATAAAATAAATGCTTGTTTCATTTTTTTAGCTGCTGATATTCATTCCTTACTGTATGTTGTCAGATGAGGAGATTGTGCAGTTCTGGTACATAAAGATGAGTAATATAAACTGAAATCTATAATTTTAAGGGCTTAACCTATGACTTTGATAAAAAGCTGGAACACTCCACTGAATGGATATATTGAATTGCAGTATATATGTATGATTGCTTTTTAAGTGATTATTTTTTCTTCTGTTAAATCATGTAAATTCTTAAATCCTTTTGCACTGATGTGTTGAACCTTATTGTACATTCAATTAAGGCAAACTTTTATAATTTACCTTTTGTTTTCAATGACCTTGAAATGTTATAGCATGGTATTCTATGCAACTAGTTATCCTCTGGGGTTGACACTGTATTTTTCACATTGATTTAAAACAGTTGAGTGTAGATTTTCTCACCCGGCAGGGTTCTCATGCGGTGTGTAACCGTAGATGCATGTACTTGTGTTCTGTGTAAGTGTTGAAGTGCAATGATGTATAAAAAAGTGGATTCACTGTTTTTAAAAATAAAACATTGATAAAAGGTGCTTGGAATAATACTCTTTATTCTTGTATCTAATCTTAGGAGGAAGCACTTTTTCAGTGAACTTTTTCAAGTTCCTTAGTGCTGTATGTACGTGGAGTGTTAATTTCTCAACCCTGTCAGCTTTTTAAGTTCCTTTTCCACCTCTTCCACAAATGCGGGGAAATTCTGATCCATGAGGCACAAGCGTAGAAAGGGGCGTAAGTCTTCCGTGTCCCACGCAGATTGTTCATAGACCGGGGACAGCTCCTCTGACACCAGGAGAGACTAGGGGGATTCCAGAAGAGTAGTTTATTAGTGATTATAGCCAAAAGCAATGGCTTGAAATAACAGAACACAGAAAAACTTTGCTTTTAGGAAATATCAGGGAAACACCAAAAATTAGTGTTTATTACCTTTACGGGGTTCCTATATATAATGCCTCTAACTACACATAGGAAGTGAGATAAACTTGTATCCTTAAGCATGTCAAATTAATGAAATGATTTACAAAGGTAAGGTCCTGCTTTAATGAAGAATACTGTGTTAACATTTTGTGGGTAAGAAAGTTGTCAATGAATGAAATGCACTAGCTTAGTTCATCTTTCTCACCTCCCAGATGAATGGGTGTGAGCCGTTCACCTTGTGGAAGGCGGGTTCTGAATGTAATAAAGAGAGGTCACAAACTCACTGTCCAGAGGAGATAATTAGCTCACTCATGTCTCTTTCCAGTCCTGTCCACGAAGTTTGGCAGGGAGAGGCATGTAACTATCACCACAGAGAAGACACGGACATTACCATACCTCTCCACCTCCCGCCGAAAATTTCTTCATGCTGCCTACACTCTTATGTCAAACAACCCCTGGCAAGCAACCGCTGATCTGTTCTCCATTACTCTGTAGCTTTACCTTTTCCAGAATGTCATAAATGGAAGTTCTATAATGTCAAGCATTTTTTCACATGCTTATTTGCCACCTGTATGACTTCTTTGGTAACTTGCAGTGTTTTAAACCAGCTGAGGGGCGCCTGGGTGGCTCAGTCAGTTAAGTGTCCCAACTCTTGATTTCAGCTCACGTCATGATCTCATGGTTTGTGGGATTAAAACCTGAGTCAGGCTCTGTGCTGACAGTGTGGAACCTGCTTGGAATTCTGTCTCTCCCTCTCTCTGCCCCTTCCCCTCCCCCGCTCAGTTGTCTCTCTCAAAATAAAAAAAAAATAATAACCAGCTGAGTAAGTTGCCCAGATTTAGATATCAGAGTTCAAATGAAAGTCTGACTGTGCTTGGCAATTTGGAAGATACGGTGACAGCAGATCCACAGTCTACTGTGATACGATGGGTTCCAGCCCTGATGTCTTACATCTGTGTTTGCTGCTTTGACTCAGTCGCCATATTTACTCTTCACACTCCATCTACTAGGTAGGTGGTTTTATGCCCTTTCTATGGATGGCATGGTTTGGTGTGTTTTGGTGTGCACAATTGATATTTCTCTAGAAACTGTAATAGAAATTTAATAAATTCAAACTAGCCTCTCAGAAGAATGTGAAAGTAACATGGAGCCCTGTTCTCCAGTGAGAGCCACTGTTAGCAGGTCAGTGTATCTCTTTCCAGACCTATTTTGTGTGTTTGTGTTTCTATAAAAACTAAACCATCCATGTTGTTTTTAACCTTTTAAAAAACTTAATGTATTACAAATATCTTTCCACGTCAACAGATAGGGATATATATCACTTTTATTGACTGTATTTTTATCCCATTTGTGGTTATACCACACTTAAAACCACTTAGTATCCTACTAGTGCACATTTATGTTGTTGCCAGTTTTGTTACTATGAACAACACTGAAGAGCATCCTTATGTGTATGTTTGTGTAGCTGAAATGGAATTCTAGGTAATAAGATACAACATTAAATTGGTTCCTAAAATGTTTTATGCACTTATTCATGCATAACTTGTTCATGCAACAACTTGTCCAGAAGGTTAGAGCAAATGAGAAACCTATCTGAGCCGCCCGCCTGGTGCATGGTTCATACGTGGTTCTCCACTATGTAAATACGCTGGGCTACGGTCCACCTTCTGCCGCATCTGATCTTTCCTGAATAACGATATCATACCCTGCCTTGTTTCCATGTTTTCCTCAGCCACTCATTCAATTAACCTCTAACCACAATGCAAATACGAGGCTACAAACTAGGGCACTGTGGAGTTTGTCCTGCTGCTGGACAAAGAGGCTTTTAATTTTTTTTTGTTGTGGTTGCTAAGTTATTAAAAGAAATAGATGTGAATTCTTATTTAATCGTCTTAAATTTTTAATTGTAGGACTGTCTATTTATTTTGAGTGGTAAGCCAGATGGAGGAAACACCCATATTTTCCGTTTTATACTACTGTTAGCACAGTTCAATAAATACATTAAAAAGAAAACTCATCCTTAAATACTGATTTCCATGCAGAACTGTGTGGAAAGCACAAGCTGTTGGCCGGAGAGCTGCTGTTGAGCGCAGCAGGGAACACAGTGAGGAGGAGACAGGCCTCCAGGAGCTCCCAGCAGAGCAGGGCATCAAGCAACCCTGAATTTGAATGAATAGGTTTTGTGGGATGCTTTGGTAACAGCAAGCTGCAAGGGGAGGGGAATGTCTGAAAGCAAGTCTGTGGGAACAAGGCTGAATCCTCCCAGGTTTCTGGACATCCTCAGCTCTTAGCACCGGAAATTTGCTGCTACAGAGACCATCACTGAGCTGGCTCCAAATTCATATTGATACCTGTCTTAGGATAGTTCTCAATCTCATTTTCGAAATTAAATGGAAGTTCTTCCCTTTATTTCTCTTTGGGAGCATGGCAATTAAATTCTTTATGTCACACATTGAAAAGCTAACAGCGCCCCCGCCCCCTCCTCGGAGGGCCGCTCTTCAGTGGCGCCACCGCACCCGACGGCACAGGTAGGCGGAAGCGGCCCTGTCTGTCTCTACTGTCCTCTCTCTGCTGGCACTTCACGTCACTATTCCACAGAGGGGTGAACAGAAGGATACAAATTCCTCAGGATCACTGTTTCTCGTGACCAAGGAAGACAACAGGGAAATAGGCCCTACCTGAGCCAACCAACTCACTGAGGTCCTTCCTCCTGAAGTCCCTGTGCCGGCCGGTCCATGCTGCTGCTGCTTCTCTGGCTTCTGGTGTGACTGCAATTAGGAGATGAGCTGAACGTAATCAGAAATGCCACTGGCCATCATAGGACTGGCAACACACATACTTGTGTGAAAAGAAAATACCAGTGTCAGTAAAGGCATAAAGTCATTATCAGTGGACTCTGTCCTGGTTTAAGCTGGGCTGTCCCTTGATTTACTACAGGAGGGGGTTACGGACAGAGTTTCTGTCTGAGGTTCCTGCCCTGCACCTGGTGTTCCTCGGTGTCTCACCGGCTGTCCAACCCCATCATGTTCTCCTGTCTTCAGAGGCCCAGCCCAGGACCATGTGCTGGTGCTGGAGGGCAGTGGACACTGTCCAGATTCCGATAATGATTTTGTTTTTAAAGTTTATTTATTTTGAGAGAGCAGGAGAGAGCGCGTGGGGGAGGGGCAGAGAGAAAAAATCCCAAGCAGGCTCCGTGCTGACAGCACGGAGCCCGATGTGGGGCTCGAACTCACAAACTGCCAAGATCATGACCTGAGCTGAAACCAAGAATTGGGACGCTCAACCAACTGAGCTCAACCAACTAGGCGCCCCTGATTTGTTACTTTCTGAGAGTTACAACTCAAGTAATAAATGGTCACGACAGAAAAGCAAAGCAGGGGAAGAAATAAACCCTATGATTTCAAGATAACCATATGCTTTTAATAAAACTTAAAAAAAAATCTCATTTTAGACATTCCAAGGGAATGAGTTCTTCTGTTAGTAAAATACCGAGATATCTTCATTCAACAGTGTTAGTGCCTACCACGGAAGGGGGCCACGGAGAACAAGGTAGTGGTCCAGCCCTCAAGAACCCACAGCCAAGTGAGAACCTAACAAGTAGAACAGTGATTAGCATGCAACCTAAGAGGTGTTAGAATGAAGGCAGGTATAAGACTTCAAGCTTACAGTGGAGGGGGTGAGCCATAGTAGGTGGTACACTAAGCATGAAGTGTAGGAATGCTTCAGAATCTATTTCGAAAGAATCTACAATGTGAGGGGGTTTTCTTGGATAGAGCGCAGGCAAAAGCACAGTGTAGGAGGTGGCCTGGAGGCCTAAAAGGCCTCCGAAGGCCGCCTCTACTTAAGAGCACAGTTTCCGAAACCCCACCACCCCTCCTTCCTAGCCACGTGTCTGCAGCTCTGGCTAGGTTTTGGATACCTGGGGCTATTGCACACAGGTGCGCCCGTCCCACATACAAGCTGGTGGCATAGAGAGAGAAACCAGGCTCTCCCTAGAAGATGCCTCTAACAGCATCACGTCACGGCTGGCAGAAGTCAGAGTGTCCAAATTTTGTCTCCTCTTACGTGAAGCTGACTATTGCTAGTAGTGGGTATTAACAGAAAAGTAATAGGTATTAACACTAGGTACTAACAGAAAAGCGGATCTGGAAGCATCAAAAACGGGAGGGAGACAGGAAGGAAAGAACAAAAAGAAAACTAGTCAGGAATACTAAAAATGAGCAAAAACATAAGGGACTCTAGTGAATCAGGAGTCCTTAGGCAAACCCCCTTTCTCTGTTCAGTTTCCTCATCTGTAAAAATAAAAGACTCCAGTGCCTGGCATTTCTTCTAGCTCTGACTTTTGATGCTTTCCTAGAGTACCAGTTCACGTCACACATGTTCTTCAAACACGGGGCAGACAACAACCCAACATCATGTTGCACAAACGCTGGAGAGTAGCCAAGTGTGATGGAACCACCTGAGGTGAGTAGGCGGCTCCGGGATCAGACCGTCCTCCACCCAAGTGCACAGACAAGGAAGGTGCTGTGCACACAGTAACTGGAGCCTCCTGGCTGCTTTCTTCTTTTGGACTTCTTGTATCAACAACGGACAGTTCAGCTGGGAACTGCCATTCGCCTTCCTGTCTTTCCTTTCCCCCTTCTTCGGGGTGGGCTGGGCTGCCTTAGAAGCCCTCAGGTTGAGAAGCCTTGGTTAGGCCACAGTTGGTAAAATTACAAGGCTGAGGAAGAATAAAAACCAAATGTTCTGAGAAATGACTGAAGAACGTGAAATGAAAAGACAGGAAATTATCTCTACCTGCAAAGAAGAGAACTATTTCAGATAAGAAGGTATATATAAGGCATTGGGGAAATGACACCTGAGTCCAGGAGGGCAGCAAGAGGACTAGGACTTGGCTACAGCTTGCAACGCTCAAGATGGATTCTGAGAAAGGGAACGTGATACCAAATTTGCACAGGAGCAGCTACGACAAACCTGGGAATGTTTTGCCATTAGGAAGACTAGAATGTTCTAGGCAGTATTTCACAATGTCTACACTCTGGCAAATTAACCTAGTGGCTTTACCTTGTCTTCTGCTCTGCAGCTATAGACGTTCCATCTTACGGTCCCCTTGCCTTGGGAGTTCTGACCCTTGCTTACTGACCAGCGCGCTAACGTGTTCACTTGCAAGGGAACACAGATCTGGGAGGGTAACGGTACTGGCAATAATAGTAATAATGAATAATGTTATTTAGATGTTTGCCAGGCATTGTACTATGTCTGTATATACAGCATTTCCGTCTTGCCATGTTACAGATGAGGTTCAGGGGCTCACGAAATCACGCGGCCACTAGCAGGGCCAGGATTCAAACCTAGATCCATTTTGATTCTGAAGCCTGTGGTCTTTGCACAGCACTGCATAACCCCCAACTGCAGATCGTCAAAGTCCCTGAATACAGCATCGAGGAAAGATGTGAAAAATTTCTAGTCACTCTGGGGATATTTCTACCTGGGTATTGGGGGCCAGCCTTTGAAATCAGAGCTAGAACTTCCATTTGTTGCTGTAGCTCAGAACCCTCAGTCTGCATCTGCTCCTACATGCTACAGCCTCAATTTATCTTCTTATATTTAGATAAGTGTGTAGCCTGGTTAGGCTCCAGCCTGGCGTGTCTTCATTGCCTTTATAAGGCATTCCAGACGTACTTCCCAAATTCTAGCACCCTATTCAGTTCCTGTCCCACTCCACGCACTGGGTACCGTAATCTGAATCTAATAACGATCGATGAAACCTACAAAAGAAGACATTCTACTTAGGGGGCAAAGGATCATAAACTAATAGAGTACCTTGTAATAAACCACTCCATCCCATTTGCAGGGAAGGGATTCTTAATATAGCAGGAGCTGATGTGGCAAAATGAAACCAGATCCAGGGTTTGTAAGAAATGGAGCTTTAGCATGAAGAAATCTTCACAAAGATCAGACAAACAAATGGAGGGAAAGAATTCTAGAAATCTTATTTGGCAAACTGAACACATTCAAGAGGAAATCATACAGCACTTGTTGAAAGAAAAAGACCTTATGATAAATAATGTAAATTTATGTTCCCCCTAGATAAATTATGAACCACAAGAAACTTGGTGATAAAACAGCAACAATGAATGGTCTTGCTCCATTGAGTTTAAGGGCCCTTATAGGATGAAAGGCTAGAAAGCCAGGTTTGGAAAATCATTTCTCAAAGTAGAATATAAAAAACCCAACTTGAAACTAGAATTTCATCTCAAAAGCAGAGGCAAATGCCTATGCTAACAGCATTTGGGATTAGGCCAAAGAAGCATGAGAATATGTACTTCCTGGAGAAATTCTGTAACAGTGCTTCTCAAACTTAGGATCACAAGCTCCTTCTATGATCTGACAAACTATTGAGGCCCTCGGACAGCGGCTTTTTAGGCTATATCTAATATTTACATGTTAAAAGTGAAAGCAAAAATTAAAAATATTCATTTAAAAGTGAACCCAATATATGTTATTTAAAATGTTTATGAAAAGTAACTCTATTTCCTAAAATAAAGATGTCATGATTTTGCAAATCTCTGGAATGTCTAGCTTAATGGAAGACGGCTTGACTCTCCTATCTACTGCATTCAGTCTGTTGCTTTGGATGAGGTACATGAAGAAAGTCTGGCTTCACATAGATACATAGATGGAAAAGGCAGAAGTATCTTACAGTAGCCTTTTCGGATAATTGTGGATAGATATTCTTTGATAGAACACCAAAACTCAACAATTGACTGGTTTTTAAAAGTTAGCTGTATACATGGAATCTGAAATCATAGCAATTAACTTGTTACACTCTGTTATATTAAAACCACTGGTCTGTTTTGCACTTTGAATGGATCTTTTATCCGTGCATGATTTTGTAGCATCATTGGATTGGTCATTTGGAAAATACTGATTCGCTGGACTATACAGATCTTCCAAAATGTTGAAACATCTTGTCACGTAATTATATCCAAAGAAAAACACTCATGTTCGTTAAAAGCACTATCAGAATAGTCTTCTGAGTTAGGGAGCTGTGGAGGTCAAGTGGCAGATACATACACGTTTTCCAAGAGTCCAATTTTTCCTTGACAAGCTTACTTCATCATTGTCGATAAATACTATTAGTTGTTTTCCTGAAATGATAGGCTCCCTTCATTTGAGAAAGTGTCCACTGAATGCCCAAGTATGAATAACCCTAGTTTATCTTGTTCTTTCAAGTACTAACGGTGTTCCGTGAAGAAGGCCGGTTCAGCGCCCAGCACAGGCCCTCAGGCACTTCCCTTCCAAACAGCCACCGTGCCTCCCAGGGCACAGCAGCTCTGCCTGTGTTCTTACTGTGAGTGATTGGTGAAGATTGATCACCACCTGCACAGTTTGAGGCCACTACCTTGATGGGTACCAAGGTGACAGCAGCTTTGCTCACAATTCTTTTGTCAGATTAATGCAAGTACTGACAAAGTGAAAAGGGCAAATAACGTCTCAGTATTATAAAAATAATGGTGACTTTATGGACCCCTTGAGAAAGGTCTCAGGAAAGGGTCCACAGACCATACTTTGAGAACCACTGTCTATGACGACACCCAGAATGCAGCCGGGACACCTGGCTAATCTGATGTCTAGGATTATAGGTAGCTACAATGAGGATCAATCTTCAATCTAAACAAGTCAGTCAACATTACGGGGGCATCTGGGTGGCTCAGTCAGGTGTCCAACTCTTGATTTCGACTCAGGTCATGATCTCATGGTTTGGGAGTTTGAGCCCCACATTGGGCTCACTGATGGCGTGAGGCCTGCTTGCGATCTTCTCTCTGCTGCTCATGTGCGCCCTCTCTCTCAAAATAAACAAACTTAAAAATATTTTTAAAAATACGTCACTCGGGGTGCCTCGGTGGCTCAGTCGGTTGAGCGTCCGACCTCGGCTCAGGTCGTGATCTCCCGGTTCAGGAGTTCGAGCCCCGCGTCAGGTTCTGTGCTGACAGCTCAGAGCCTGGAGCCTGTTTGAGATTCTGTGTCTCCCTCTCTCTCTTCCCTGTACCCACTTGTGCTCTGTCTCTCTCAAAAATGAATAAACATTAAAAAAAATTTTTTTTTTAAATATGTCACTCAACATTAGGTATCTTTTAACCTACAAACCGGATAGATTCAACACATTCCACTGTGATTTCGTCCCCATAAAGCAATACTTTGCCAGGTTTCTCATGCAGCCAACACACTGGCCTACTTACCCGGTGCTGTGGTGGGATGTGCTGTGCACAATCCTTCCCTTGGCTTTCACCTGCCCCCAGCAGGCCAGCACTTGGCCTGAGTTCCTGGCTGACTCTGTCAGGCTCCTGGACGGTCACATACTGGGCCAGCTTCTGCACGCAGCTGCAGCAGCTTTCCAGCGCCTGCTCCTTGGACCCTCCACTAAACTGCACCCGGAACATGCGGCTCTTGTTCTGTTGGACAGATGCAGAGTTCCCCCTAGAAGCCCTCACTTTTATTTACTGTGGGCACCTCTAGGGAGTGCTTCCCTTTGCGGGGAGCGGTAACTCTAGATTGTTAATGTGGATAGAGAAAAGGCGGTAATTTCTTTTCTTCCCCCTTTGGGGAGCTGCTCATACTAAATTTGTTTCCTTCAGGGAATTGACATCAGCAAAAATGGAAAAGCCCGTATCATACAGACCAGGAAAGTCACTACTGACTACAGTAAAATACCAGTGTTTTGTCTTACTCGGAATAAAGATTTCATAGCTTCTAATTCCTTAGGTGAAAAATCAGTGCTAGCTCAACAAAATTTTTCTAAACCTAAGTATATAAAAGAGCAAACTGGGTACATGGTACTCTAAACAAACCAGCGAAGTTGACAAACGAGACTGGGGAACAGGGGACAGGCAGATGCTAAGAGCTAACGAAGCTCCTATTAGCAATCTGTAGTGCCCTTTATTCTTAAAGAAGCCAGACTACCACACAAATTGCCTTTTGCCTTTAATTTACTGTATGAGTTCCATCCCTTGGCAAATAAGCAAATGTGGGAGAGATGCAGTTAGAATTGTAAAAAATTTGGCAACTACATCATACTTACTGGCTTGTAAGTTTAAAACTAGAACTAAATTGTAACAGTAACAATGATAAATCCAGTATTTTAGTAGCAATAGTTTCCTGTTTTTCTAGTCTAATATTCCATCTAGTTTAGAGGAGTCGATATATACCAAACAGATGGTATGTATCGTGTGCCTTTGTTCAGTTTCTTCTGTAAAGAAATCCAGATGCTAACTCAGCACAGTGACATTTATTAAACACATAAATCACTCTGCTAACAGGAAAATGTTTCTAGCTAGAGTTCACAAAATCCTGTAAGTTCCCACAGATAAAAATTCCTTGGTTTGCCTAGTTCCAATTTGCACTGTTTACATTTTTAGATAAAGCCATTAGGCAAAGCCACATATTTAAGTTAGAGAAAACTCTGAGCATGGCTAAGTGATGGTAAGGTGTCATGTTTAGAAGAACAGACCCTGCCCCCCTCCTTACTGCCACTGTTGGGTGATCTTATCTTTTAATTCGTTTCATCTTTTTCCTAAGTATAAAATAATCCATTATCATCCCCTACAACAATGAATATATATAATGTATAAAACATTAATATATTATATATATATACATATATATATATATGGTAGACTATACTACTGTTTAGTAACCTGATTTTTTTATTTAATAAGAAGTATAAAATAGAAGTATAGTTCATTGCTCTCAATGGCTGAAGAGTATTCCTTTATTTAACTGGCCCCTACCAACATTTATCTATAGCCTTTTCCCTATTGTAAGCCACAAAGCTTTGGTAGGCATTCTTATACATACATCTGTGCATAAATGCCTAAAAGCAGATTTGCCTGGTCAAAAGGTCTTGGGTATTTTGGTAGTGCCAAACTGCTGTGGGCGGGATAGTATCAATTTATTCCCACTAAGAGTCTCTCCAACACTGGAGATTCTTATTCTTTTAAATTAAAAAAATTTTTTTTAAGTTTATTTTTGAGAGAGAGCACAGGCAAATGTGCACACATGCATGGAGCAGGGGCAGAGACAGGGAGACAGAGGTTCCAAAGCAGGCTCCCCCTGACAGCACAGAGCCCAATGTGGGGCTCAAACTCATGAACCAGGAGATCATGACCTGAGCTGAAGTCGGACACTTAACCAACTGAGCCATCCCAGGAGCCCCTCTTTTAAATGTTTTTAAATCTACTAGGGTAACATAGATTTTTATTGCAGAATTTCATTTCTTTGATTACAAATAAGGTTGAATATTTTTCTTCTGCATATTGGTCATCTGTATCTCTTCTGTATTGCCTATTCATTTCCTTAGCCATTTTGCTCTTGGATGAATAAATCCCCAGACTCTCAAGAGTAACTGAAAGCTGATTTTTCCCTGAGGAAGGGAAAAGAACTGATAAGAGAACTATACGTTTCATTTTTGGTAACTCTATGCATCGTTTTTTATAAAACTGACCTGATTTCCTGTTTACAATTAATTGGCTGTTTCCAATTTATTTACACTACTTTAAACTCTATATGAAGACATCTATATGAAATACCTTTTTTAGGGGTGCCTCGGTGGCTCAGTTGGTTGAGTATCTGACTTCAGCTCAGGTCATGATCTGACGGTTCATGGGTTCAAGCCCCACATCGGGCTCTGTGCTGACAGCTCAGAGCCTGGAGCCTGCTTTGGATTCTGTGTCTCTCTCTTTCTCTGCCCCTTCCCCTGCTTGTGCTCTGTCTCTCTCTCAAAAATAAATAAACATTAAACAAAATTTTTAAAAAGTAATTAAAAAAGAAATACCTTTTTTATATGAAATACCTTTATATTAGATATTTCCATGCTGATTTTGTAATTAACCTTTTGAAAAGTAATCACATTAAAAATTGTACCTCTTAGCTGGATGAAAAGCTGTATACAGAAACAGATGAGTATTAAGTGTATTGTCAGGGCAAAAATCTCAGACCAATCATGTAAGCCTAGAGGTGTCTGTATGTGAATGTGCATAAGAAGGAGTCTGGACAGTTAGGGTTTCTTTAGAATGTAGTTCCCAGAATGACAGGGTAGGCTATATGTTCAATAGCCTAACTGAAGCCTGGCTCCGTGTTTGCTTCTGTAAAATTCTCAGGTACAATTTGAGCTTTATCATCTGAAGCCAGAAATATCACCTCAATGCATGTGGACCCAAGATAAAACTAAGGTACATCAAGAAAAATGTGACAGTGAGTTACATCACCATCCCACATCCTCAGTGCCGTGGGGCACAATGGAAAACTGTCACTGGGTTAACAAAAAGGACTCCTAGGTTGAAAATCTTAATCAGATTTATTCTTATGCCATAATTAAGTGAGAAAGGGCTTCTTGTGGTGAAATGAAAAGTTTTCAAGTATGTATCAACAGCCATGAACTGGCCTAAATATAGTCTATCGTCTAAGGAGATTAACTCAAAATTACTGTATTTTAGGTGATGGCGTAATGTTAGATTGTTCTCTCCTATTTTAGAACACTTAATTTCAAGTTATTACAACAAACAGAAAATTCCCTTCACACAGACGCCTTGAGGAAACAAAAGTTAAGGATAAGGGCTTGCCTCTTGACACTTCTCTTCATGTACTCACATGAAAGTCAGGCTCCAGCTTCTGGAAGGCATTGGCCCAGTAAATTCTGACTCTTGGGCATGAACAGCATCTCCTTTTGGAGATTCTTAAGCCTCAGGCTCTACAGCTGATGTTATATGGTGCCAGCATACGTGGAAGACAGGCACCTGGTTAACACCACGTGGGAGGAGAACCACAGAGATACAAGTCCTCACCAGCTTGCCGGGTTTTCCTGCTGGTTTTAGATTCAATGCTCAGATCTATATAGTCTCCCATCACTAGGACCCCAACCAAAGCAGTTTTCCCCACCACTGGTAGAGAATTCCTCTACCATAGAAAAGGAGGGAGAGGGGAGTACAGAAAAAGGACTTAATGAGAGAAGGGGCTTCAACACTTTTCTTTGATCCTTTACTCTGAAACCAAGAGGCGTTACTCAAAGCCTAGGCTAGACAAAATCATGAGAACATTCTTCAGTGAGTTACTGGGGGCAAAGAGGAGAGTGGTTTATGTTTATTCCTTTAAACCAAAGTCCCTTTAGGTAGGTAATTACATGTTGACCCTTTGCCGGTTGGCCTGGACCATTTTGATCAGAATTACTAACAAAAAAAAAGGAAGCCCAACTTACAAGTAGGCAGAACTTATATAATCTACTTACTTCAGCCAGAGGGAAAAGAAGTAACTTTTATTATCCACAGAATTTAAGCTATACTAAATTGCTGATAACAGAATAAAAATTTTATTTCAAAATACTTCTTCCATTTATCAACTTAAACACTGGTGTTTGTTACATAATACTTGGTTAATTAAAAGTTATCCAAGGCAAGGAACACCAAAGATATCCTTTTCCAGGTAAGGCAAAAATAAGAATCTGTTGGTTCAATATTAATATATCAAGTCAATACATCATAGAAAGGAAAAAGAAAGACATGATCTTGGTAAGGTGTCAAAAAGCTTTTGATAAAATTTAATATGTAATCCTGAGAAAAGTATTGATAGATAAACTATAACTGAAAGAATTATTTCCCTTAAATGGTAAAGAATATCCATCCAGTCAACAGCTAGAAATGTTCTTAACATCTAAACACTTCTTCCCATTCAGGTCAGGAAGATGTCAAAGATGATGCTATAACCATAAAATTAATGTTCTGAAGGGTCTAGATAATTCAGTAAGGTGAGAAAAGTAATAAATATAAACTACTGGAAATAACTATAATTGTCATTGTAGATTATAAAATCACTTTCCTAGAAATTAAAACAAGTAACAAATTATCAGTTAATAAAAGTTTAGTAAGGAAGCTAAATTTCAATTCAGAAAAAATCTAATAATAAGCAGCTAGAAATAACTTCGGGGTAAAGAATATCATTCCCAGTAACAGTAAGCAAAACTATGTAGCAATATTTCTAAAAACTACATATATGGCATATATACAAATACATATAACTACACAAATTACATAAACATATTTCTACATAGCATGTAATCTATACATGTATATAACATGTAATCTCTATACATATTCTGTCTAAATACTTTGAAGAGGAAAGTAAGTCAAAACTAGCCAGTAAGTGATTCAAAGAAGAAATATAGATGGCTAACAAAGACACAAAAAATGTTCATTCTCATTTGTTATCAAAGAAATGCAAATTAAAGGAAGATGTTCATTTTTGCCAATCAGATTGGAAGCTAGCTTTTTAAAAAGTTATTTTTAATATTTTTAATGTTTATTTATTTTAGAGAAAGCAGAAGTGTGCATGAGCAGGGGAGGGGCAGAGAGAGAGGGAGACAGAGAATCTCAAGCGGGCTCCATGCTGTCAGCACAGAGCCTGATGTGGGGCTTGGACTCAAGAACTGTGAAATCATGACCTGAGCCAAAATCAAGAGTCAGACGTTTAACCGAGCCACCCAGACGCCCCAATAGTTATTTACTTTGGGGAGAGAGAGTGTGTGACTGGGCGGGTGTGGAGTGAGTAGGGAAGAGCAGAGAGAGAAGGAGAGAGAATCCCAAGCAGGCTCCACGCTCTCAGCATGGAGTCTGACATAGGGCTTGATCTCATGAACCATGAGATCATGAACTGCGCCAAAATTTAAATGATACGCCCTATTAGAATTTGGATAAATGAGCATTCTCACATACCACTAGTTCTGTAGAAACAGAAACAACCTACAGAGAGGGCAAATGTACAAGATAAATATATATTCTAGGCTTCTGTCTCAAGAGCCCTACAAATAAATCCTTATGAAAATCAAAACATTTTTATAATAGTGGAAACGTGGGGATTAGTTAACTGAATTATGTTGCATCCAAACAATAAAATGCTAGGTAGCCACAAACAATCACATTTTCAAAGACTAAGAAATGACTTGGTATAATATTCCTGACATAATGTTACATGACAAGAGGGCAGGATACAAAGTACTCTGTATACTACAATCCCAAGTTTATAAATTATCTATACAGCAGACACAGGGTTCATTGCCATGAGCTGATACATACAAGAGGCTGGAAAAGCCAAGCACTCATTTTGCTCATATTAGCAGATTGGAATTGGCCACATTACATTGTCTGGTCCATGAGACATAAGTAGACATATTCTAGGGGTTGTGCAAGGTGGAAGCCTCATAGAAAGTTTATGCTTTCCTTATGAAAGGGACAGATGAAGCTGGTTTTCCTTCAATAGACATTCAATAGAGCTATAGCAACCATTTTGCAAATGTGAGGGAGAGGCCAAGGAATTGCTAAGATGTTGACCTTGGCACTGTGAAATTGCTGAGCCAAAGCTACCACCTCCCTATTTCTGTTATTTAGTGAAAAAAAAAATACACCCCTAATTTTGGGGGCCACTATGTCTGGATTTTTCTGTCATGTGCATCTGAATGCTATCTTGACATAATATACCTGCCACATAGCAACTTTAAAATGTTAATAATGATTATTTTTCAGTGGTCAAATTATGGTTGGTTTTTATTTTACTCTTTATAGTTAAAAATTGTAATAGTATATATCAGGAAAAAATTAGAACTCACATATCAGACATATGGCACGGTGTAACTTTTAGAAAGACATATACAGTTGACTCTTGCAATGTGGGAGTGAGGAGTGCTGAAATTCCAAGTAGAACTTGTGACTCCCCCAGAACTTAGCTACTAATAGCCTACTATTAACAGGAAGCTTACTGATAACATAAACAGTCAATTAACACATTTTATATGTTACATGTGTATACACTGTATTCTTAGAATGAAGTAAGCTAGAGAAAAGAAACTGTTAAGAAAATCATAAGGAAAATACACTTATAGTGCCGTACGGTATTTATCAGAAAAAAAAAATCCACGAGTTCAAACCTGCGAGTTCAAACTCATGTTGTTCTGGCATGACAGTCCCAGGCTGGGAGTCAGAAGATAAGTCGGTGGTCCAGTTCTCTGACAGCCAGTTACAACCTTGACTATTGGCATAAGTTGAATTCTGTGCCCTCATACATAAATGAAAAGAGGGGCTCTTGAGTATGCGCTCCAGACCCCTTTGGCAATCTGGTGAAGCCAGTGAATTGCTTCTCAAAACAATGTGTACGTGTGTGTTTTAATAAAGTTTATTTATTTATTTTGAGAGAGCAGAGCCTGTCATTGCAGCCCAGTGTAGGGCTTGAACCCACAAAGTGTGACATCAAGACCTGAGCCGAAACCAAGAGTCAGACACTCAACCGACTGAGCCACCCAGCTCTCCCCACCCCAGCAACCCCCCCTCGCCCCTGGTCAAAACAATGTTTTTAATCACATAAAATACATTAGATTATAAAGGAAACCAATTATACTGAAGTAGTTTACTACAATATTAAAACACTAATTTGTGAATTAACAATACATATGCTTAACACATGACTAAAAAGCTCTAGCAGAGGGACTAATCACCACCATAATTCTGAGGCAGTGATGAGCCTGACACTGAACATACCTGTGATGCGGCATGAAAGTAGCTGATTTCTACTGGGGCAAAGGTCTAATACGACTGGGCTCTGATGCCTACATTCATAGCTGAAGGAAATGATACATCTCAGTTAGGTGTCAGTGAATATCTACGCAGTTCATGGTCTCCTGAATTCTTTAAGGACCCTTTGGAGGGTCTGTGAACCCCAGGCTAAGACCCTTCTATTAAGTGCTCTATTAGATGCTCTTCCAACTCTCAGTCTATGAGCCCATGAAAAATTAAGAGCTTTCACCTAAATTTCAATATTATCTACTGGGTGAATGTTAACAGACTGTTTTTTTTTTTTTACAGTTATTTCTGAAAGAAAATAATCCAGGTGATTAGTCTGTATTGTATGTTTCTCTGATGAGGATCATTCTTTATGTTTAATGCAGCTAGGAAGCAAGTAAAAGGGAAATTTTTGAATATTGAAAAGGGAAAATGAAAAGACACAGTAAAGCATTCGAAAATAGTAAGACAAACAATGATGTACCCCACATCCTCGCAGTTTGTGCCTGGGGACTGGAGAATGGTTGCACGGCTCTGTCAGACAGGCGTCGACAGATCAATCAAAGCCCTGGCTCTTCAGAAACACCCTCTTCCTAACTAGGCTTCTGCCTCTCTACACACCTTGTTTCATGTTATGTTCCCAATACAAACCTTTCTTAAACATACATATTCTTCCCAGTACCATTTCCCCTGCAAACAGAAGCTCCCGCACTCACTCCACCCCCATGCATAGTTAGAAGATGACAAGGGTACGATCATTTGCTTAAAAATAGTTGGCTACACAGTATCTTGCCTTTATCGTTGTTCCAAACAACAGACAATCCATGCGTCTCACAATCTTCAACCAGTTCTTGCTACCAATGAGTGAAAACCCTTCCTGAAACAAAATAATTAAGCACAATTAGCTGTAAGAAGCAAAAAGGGACATGGAGAATAGCTATGGTGCAGCTGCTTCCCACTGGAAAGTTGTAGACTGATTCTTAGATTAAGCAGAGTAGAAATGACTCAACATCACCCGTTGCCAAGGATGACCATTCCAGTAAGCCCTAAGGCTCTTCCTGCCTGATCAACAGTAACAGTCTCAGCTTTGCTTAAACTTTTCATACTGAAAATCAATAAAATATTAAAGATAGTTAATGTCCATAGTCATATTTGCTATAAAATACATTTCTAGGATTTGCCAATATGTTGGTAATTCGATACATCCTTGTAAGTAAAGGATTTCCATTATAAGAATTTATTAACTTATCTGACACGTCTAACTACACAGAGTTCTCTTCATGAGAATCTCATTTTCCGATTCCTACAAATGGAAAAATTGAAGCAACTTGTTTTTGGATGCTGAATGTCTAGTTCTTCATTTCAATCTGAAAGAAGAAAAGGCAAAGAGGGCAGTAGAGGGCACACTAGTCTCAAAAGAGAGATGGCAGTGAGATCTTTATGGTAGAAAGATGAACTTTTTCTGCAGCTTATTAACAGCAAACAATTGATTATTTAACCATTATGGTCACTCATAAGCTCCAATTATGTCAGTGGATTTCCTCAGTTAAAAAGCCTGTCAAGTTAGAATGTGTTAAGCTCCACTAATACTAATCCAGGGAACTGAAAATCTAGCAGTATACAAATCCTGCCTACACTGCCTGTCTACCTTGTAGTGTTAATCCACCAGAGCCAGGGAAGACTGCTGGAAGAATCTGAGAAAACTCCTACTTTTAGAAAACAAAAGAAAATGTCCCTTATAAATAATGAACCCTCATAGAGTCTCTCTTCCTAAATCTGTATCTGGTGGAACCACAACTTCCAGAGAAATGGAGAGCCCGGGAAAACTGTGTGTTAATTCCTTGGCATTTTCATTTGAAAAAGAAAAAAAAAAACAAAACATGCTGATTCTGAGAGTTTCATCATTAGTTAGTAGCTTTTATTTTTTTAGTGAAAAAAGGCAAACCATCTGTGATTTCTTAAAACTCAGAATTAGCAAAAAGAAATGTGTTCACTATCAGATCCTAAACATGTAGATACTGTAGTGTAAAACAGCAGTATACGAAGACCCTGGCACTCACACACATTGTTGGTGGAAAGTGCAAACTGGTACAACTCTTATGGAGGATGATTTGGCAATATCAGGATTACCAACACAGTACTCTCTAACCCAGCGACTCCAATCCTGGGAATTCATTTCACAGATCAATCTGCACACATGGGAAGTGATGCATGGACAAGGTTAAGCATTTCTGCATTTCTAACAGTAAAAGACTGGAAGCAATTCAAGTATACATCAACAGTGGGCTGGTTCAATATGGTACTCTACAACAAAATACTATACAACTGTACAAAAATAATGCTCTATATCAGTGCTGTTCAGTAGAAATATAATTTGAGCCACATATGTAATTTTACATTTTCTAATAGTCACATTTTATAAGAAGTTGGTAAAATTTTAATATTTTAATTAACTTAATATGTCAAAACGTGTCAACATGTAAACATTGTAAAACATTACGGCAGTGTAAAAAAAATTAAGTCTCTGAAACCCAGTGTGTTTTACACTTAACACCACATCTTAATTTGGATACTGCATTTTTGATGGCTGAAGTGAAAGGTCATTCTACCAAAATAATGTTTAATGGGAAAATAATTTATACTGCTTCCATTTTAAAATCTAAATTTAAATTTAAATTCTGGTTTTCATTTCACATTTCGAGTGCTCAGTAGCCACTTACGGCCAGTCTGTTGCTGCCTTCTCAGACAGTGTAGTTCTACGATACGTACTAATCTCTAAGGTATATTGTTCAGCAAAAAGCAAGTGACAGAACAGTGTCCACAATATAGTACATTTTGATAAGAAAAGGAGGAAACATACAAAGTATATTCTTATTATTTGCTTATATTTACATTAAAAAGAAACTGGAAGGATTAGTATAGACTAAGAAAAAAGCTATCTGTACAGAGTGGGAGTAAACAGTGCAGATGGGGGCAGGGGTTGGAATAAGATTTTTTACTCTATGTCTTTTTTTGAAAAAATATTTATATTTTGGGAAAGTGCAAGTGGTGGAGGGGCAGAGAGAATGGGACAGAGGCTCTGAAGCAGGTTCTGTGCTGACAGGCTGACAGCAGTGAGCCCGATATGGGGCTCAAACTCACAAACTGTGAGTTCATGACCTTAAGCCAAAGTTGGGCGCTCAACTGACTGAGCCACCCAGGTGCCCCTACTCTATGTCTTTTTATATTGCTTTGTGTTTTGAACTACATAAGCCTGTTAAGCATTTATGTGGGAATATCTGTGAAAACAAGGACACCCATTCCAATACGGCAAATACTCAAGGCTTGAGAGGTAGAAGACCTAAAGAAATGATAAATCCATGGGAACTCTGTACGATTTTTATAACTTTTCTGTAAATCCCAAACTATTCTAGAATAAAAAGCTGATTAAAAAAAAAAAAAAGAAAGAAATGAACAGCTCTTGGCCCTGCCCTTATCTCACCTGTTCCTGTCTCTAGTGCAGTTTGGGCTCTAAGGGACATCTTCACTGGACTGCTCCACAGATCTCTCCACGTAAGCTTGTCCAGCTGGATCTCGACAGTTGTCCTCTGCACACATTGCCATTCCTACACGGTGTTGCCTTAGAAAATGGCATCATGCACACCTGCCTGTCACCCAAACGATCACTGGGCATCATGCTTGACTCCTCCTTTCCTCACTCCTCCCTCAACACCAAGAAGTCCTCCAAGATCCTACCCCCAAACAGCTTCCTCACCCACCATTCTCCCTACGTACACTGCCACTGCTGCAGCAGGCCACCACCAATTGTCCCCAGAATTGCCACACGATCCTTGGATCTGGTCCCCTGGTCCTCTAGAAATTAGGTCCAGGCCTAGTTTCTCCATCTATTTGTGCTACTGCCAGAATAGTAATTTGTAAAACAAGCATCAGATGAAGTCATTCCCTTTCGATGCCACCGCCTCATCATCCCCTCCCTCACCGCTTCCAAGAAGCACCTGCCAGATAGAGTTCAAATTCCTCAGTGCATGTAAATTTCTAACATTTGGCTTCTGCCTTTCATGTGTGATTATTTCCTTCAATTCTCTTCTAAACGCTGTACCGGGGCCCATACAAAGCTCCCTGAAGTTCTGCAAATGCGCCATGCTCCTCACACCTGGATTTTGTTGTACAGCTCTCTTCTGAAACGGCTTCCTTTTTCATTGATTTTTGAAAACGCAGCTTTATCTCCACAATTCCCCGAGACTAAGCTGGCTGACCTCAGAATTCTGTGCTCTCAAAGGATCTTGTACTTACCGCATAAGTGGTTACATTTCATAGACTGAGGAGGAATCTCTGAGCAGGCAAGGCAGGTTCTAGAATGTGTCTCATTACCCCCTTGAGATCCCAGCAACTAGCACAATGTTTAGCAAATGCTACTGCATCCACCCCAGTGGCCGCTCCACTTAGGCCTCTGTGCAGTGGCCATGTGGGGAAAAGTGGTGTCTCCTCCCTGACAGTGTCTCTCATTCGAGCCATGTTAGAACCCTTCATAAAACCTGTCCAAACCATTTGCTTTGAACTTTGTATATGTCTTCTCTCTGCCTCTCCCCCTGATGTTTTTTCTAATTAACCTCCAATCATTATTCATTTCATCCCTAACCTCACTTGGGTCACGCTGTTAGACTTTCTCATAGCACACACAGCACTGATCACAGTTGGTGTGTCTGTAGTGATTATTTGCTTTATGTCTATTTTTTCCCTCATTGTAAGCCCCATGCAGGCAGGGGCTATATTTGTTTTTTGCTCACTACTGGATATATACCACCCATAATAGTGTTTGACACTGGAAGATGCTTCAGCGAGTTTTCAGTGAATGAAAGAATGAAGCTCTTTCTTAAAATTAACAGAATATTTCATGCCAGTATTTCTTGGGAACAATGAAGCCCATACATTTATTACCTGTCCAATGATGCAAAACATCTTACTTTTATTTGACTCATACCAATCTTGTTGAAGATTCAAAAAGTGCTTTTTCATCCTAATGTTTTGGGCTTTAATAAAGAAGCCTGTGTACCTAACCACCTGCCATTCATATATTCCTAGATTTTAATAATGCATCTCCCTGTCTCTGAAAATCCACCTCTTTGAATCTCCTTTAAGGCTTATCCACCTGATAAATTCAGTTTAGGTCAACTGATAGCTCCTGTATGCAGCCTCTCCTGACTTTCTCAGATAGTTAAGTAAACCTGCTCTGTGCACCTATAGCACACTGTACCAGCTGCTACTAAAGACTCACCATCACTGAGCTCTACTACGGCTGACTACTGTGCTATAGGTTAAAAAGACACAGAAGCTGCCTAAGGGCAGGGGAGAATGCATCAGAATCACCCAGGGAGCTGCTCCTCCTGGTGCTCAGGATACTGTTCCATCACCTGGTCAAAAACCACTGCCATAAGAAGCCACTGCTACCTGATGAGAGTCTGCCATATCCCTTTGAAGTGCTGGGTGGTGGAAAATGGTTAGGAATTAATAGCATAGGGTATGAGGGGGAAAAAGAGAGGAGTACTCTAGGAAATGCAAAATTTACCACCGTCGAAAGAATAGAGCCAAAACTAAGAAGTCATGTCTAAGATAGAGGCATGCAGAAGCTAAAGGGAATAAGACTTTGAAATAGAGAATGATCGGCAGTGTCAGGTGATGCACAGGGATGGAGTGAAAATAAGGGCTATGAAGTCTGCACTGAATTCAGCAGGTGGGACTAGATGCTACTAGGTCTGTGTATGTGTCACTCTACCTCACTCTCCTTCTAGATCCCACTTTATTGCAAACTCCATGAGACCAAGAATTGTTTCATTCATCTTTGTATCTTGCATGTCTATTGAATTAAAAAAGAGTGCC